TCTATAAGGGGAATGAATCCTTCTGATTCTGAAAGAAATCTGATTAAAAATAGGAGCGTCTGTTAAACTGTGAAGAGTGTAATACAGAATTTATTGATATCATTAAATTAAATATTATTTTTCTTTTAAAAATGTGGTTTTTATAATTTTAGCACCATAATATTAATGTTATTATTATTATTATTATAATTATTATAATTATTATAATTATTATAATTATTATAATTATTATAATTATTATAATTATTATAATTATTATAATTATTATAATTATTATAATTATTATAATTATTATAATTATTATAATTATTATAATTATTATAATTATTATAATTATTATAATTATTATAATTATTATAATTATTATAATTATTATAATTATTATAATTATTATAATTATTATAATTATTATAATTATTATAATTATTATAATTATTATAATTATTATAATTATTATAATTATTATAATTATTATAATTATTATAATTATTATAATTATTATAATTATTATAATTATTATAATTATTATAATTATTATAATTATTATAATTATTATAATTATTATAATTATTATAATTATTATAATTATTATAATTATTATAATTATTATAATTATTATAATTATTATAATTATTATAATTATTATAATTATTATAATTATTATAATTATTATAATTATTATAATTATTATAATTATTATAATTATTATAATTATTATAATTATTATAATTATTATAATTATTATAATTATTATAATTATTATAATTATTATAATTATTATAATTATTATAATTATTATAATTATTATAATTATTATAATTATTATAATTATTATAATTATTATAATTATTATAATTATTATAATTATTATAATTATTATAATTATTATAATTATTATAATTATTATAATTATTATAATTATTATAATTATTATAATTATTATAATTATTATAATTATTATAATTATTATAATTATTATTATTATTATAATTATTAGTTTCAATTCCTTCCAGTTTACGAGAAAAAAAATCAAAGGGCTTTAAATTTTGTCATATCATAATGAAAATAAATGCATTTCTCAACAGCACTATTCTTAATATAATTCCGAAATTTGAGCTCTTAATGTCTTGTTAATGATTTTTTAAAATTCGCCAAAATTAGTGGCTAAAACGCCTCGCTAAGTGTTGACTTATGTTGTAACGCGACTGTAACTATCGTATCGTACACTCTCAGTCATCATTCGTTTCCTGAAATGATTTTTACATCAGTTTACACTAGAAGATAGCACTTAACGAGATGTTTTAGTCACTAATTTTTGGCGAATTTTAAAAAATCATTAAGAAAACATTAAGAGTTTAAATTCATGGATTATATTAAGAATAGTGCTGTTGAGGAATGCATTTATTTTCATCATGATATTTCAAAATTTAAAGCCCTTTGATTTTTTTTTTCTCGGAAACTGGAAGGATTTAAAACTTTAAAAAATTTGCATATTCTAGATATTATTGCCTAATTTATTTTTCCAAAATTTAATTTTTTTAAAGAAATTACTTTTTGAGATATCCTTGTCCGAAAATTATAAGGGGGTGCTGTAATCACCTTAAATGTTTTCTCTTCACTTAGAATTTTAAAAGTAGTCCTTATTTTACTCCCGAAAATTTTATCATCCAAGCGGTATTTTATCTGGCTCTAATAATTTCTTTGCCAAACTTTGGTATATGATTTTATAAAAATCTGATGTGTCCAACACATGACTTTCCTATAGGCTTTATCCGGTTATTTTGTACAACCTATTGCAGCACCTCTATAAATGTTTAGAGAAAACTAAATATATACATTTTCCACATACATCCACCTCAAAACATTTTTCTGAAAAATTTAAATTTAGCACTTTTTCTAGAATTTTTCTATTACGGTCCATTTTAGAAAAGTCACGTATAAACAAAAATTATATATATCGATATCGCAAACAACTTTTAGTTCAACAATTTTCATAAAAATCAGAATTTTGCACATTTTGTTAAATTTCTCGAATACTGACCATTTCAGGAAATTTTGACATAAGCCAAAAATTATAGATTATAATATTAGAAGTAACTTTTATTTGAACAATTTTCTTCTCCAAACATAAATAACAGATATATTCTATAAAATATAAAAACGGCCTCACATACAGTACCCTCCAGATGTTCCGCCTTTGTCCAAAATCTAATCACTTTAGCTCAGGCCGAAATAAAACTTAAGTTTAAAATTTATTGTTTTTCACTTTATCCGTTTTTGAGTTATCTTCAAAATTTGAAATTTACATATTTTCTCAAATATCTCAAATATGGTCCATTTTAGAGAAATTATGTATGGGATAAAAATTATGGAGAATTATATTACAAACAACTTTTAATTAAATAATTTTTATAAAAAGTTAATTTTTTTTTACATTTTGTAAAATTTCTCGAATACGGACCATTTTAGAAAAATTTTGTATAAAACAAAAATCATAGATAATACTATTTTCTTTTCCAAACGTAAATAACGGATATATTCCATAAAATATAAAAATGACTAGCAATAAAGTACGCCCCCAAATGTTCTGACTCTGCCCAAAATCTAATCAGCTCACCGCAGGCCGGAATAAAGTTTAAAATTTGGTGTTTTTTTTTTGTATCGGTTTATTGTTTAAATAAAAGTTACTTCTAATATTATTATCTATAATTTTTGTTTCATGACAAATTTTCCTGAAATGGTCCGTATTCGAGAAATTTGACAAAATGTTTAAAATTCTGATTTTTAAGTAAATTGTTAAACTAAAAGTTGTTTGCGATATCGATCTCTATCATTTTTGGTTATACATGATTTTTCTAAAATTGACCGTAATGGCAAAATTGGAGGAAAAGTGCTAAATTAAAATTTTCCAGTATTTTCGTTTTCAATGAATATCTATAGAAAAATGTTTCGAGGTAGATGTATGTGGAAAATGTATATATTTAGTTTATCCTCTAAACATTTATAGAGGTTCTGCAATAGGTTGTACAAAATAACCGGAAAAAGCCTATAATAACTAGATAGGAAAGTCATGTGTTGGACACATCAGATTTTTTATTTCTCAGTATAATTTGACCAAATTGGTAAGCAAAACAATAAGTTAAATAAATTCTGCTAGTGACTTACGGCATGGATAAGTAACAACTTCATCCCCTCTAAATGTTACCCCACTGTCCAAAACCTTATATGGACTATAATTTTAAATGTTTTGATATTTTCTAAATAAATCATGTACTCTTGTTGAGAACTCACAAAGTGATTGTTTTTTGGGATATTCACACTCACACTCACCAGTTACATTATGTTCAACTTTATCTAACTGTAGATCATTTTGACACTTACTGCGATGACAAAAAGTGTCACTTTGTACGTTAAAATTTTAAAGAAGTTTTTAATAATTTTAGTTTTAAAAACGATCGATGCAACCGTCAGAGAAATTGTAAGATATATAGAAAAAATTGTATAATTATTACTTACGGTAAAGCTACGACTGGAGATTTTTTAATATCTCGCTGCTCATTTTGTAAGAGTTTTGATACTGTGTCTCTTATTTAATATTCTATAAAATAACCAATAACATTGTATTGCAGTCGTACAATGTAGTTTTGAATTCTTTCAAGAAGATTATCAAGATACGTAAAACATAGCGATTTGTTAGCATAACTGGGCCAATACCAATAACTTATAAATGTTTAAATATTTACAAAAATTAATCCAAATATTTCTTATTTTTAAAAAGCAGGCTGCAGAAATAATGCTGGGACCCAAGTAGATGAAATGTAAGGCCGTTAGACCACTTATGTATTATTTTTCCATCGAGTTCTCATGCTAGTCGAATTCTTAAGTCAAGAGACACTAAACAAGCCTCTGGAGACTCGAAGACGATATAGAAGAGCCGAAGGAGTGACGTAGGACCAGGAAAGACGTTGAATAAGCCTTTGTATGTTTAAGAGCATAAAGACATTGAATATAAGCACTGTTTAAAATTTTTGGTTCTTGGGGCCTATGTGTGTTTTTTGTGTATTATATGGCGATAAATTAAAAAAACGTACAACTGCTGACCGCGGGACCGGTTCCATCGAACCCACGGAACCATGATAGATGCTAATACCATCCCACCAGTCTTCCAAAAATTAATAAAATAGGTGCAACCTGTAAAAAGTTTTTAATTGTTAAAAATTGTTTAATTCCTACAGTATCTTAGTTCAAACCAATTCAAAAAATATAATATGAATTTATCTTTATTACTGGTTTTATTGTTTAAATATTGTATAAATATTTTCTTGTGAAAAATAATCTTTGATGAATGTTACTGCAATGTTGACCACTAGGGTGGAGCGAAAACTTGACCGAAGCAAGTAATTTTTGAAAACGAATATGCCTGGGTGTGCAAAAGATGCCTTTCGGGATTCTTATTTACCCAAAAAAATCCGAATGACTTATGACGATTCCATAGGCTACCGATATGACCTTGAAAATTTAAAAAATTAAAAAATCTTTGAAACTGAAAAAAAAGCAAACATGCAGCTCTCAGCTAGTTTGTCTTGAAAAACTACACAGAATACACCACGTGGAGGTGGCTGCATCTCGAGTTCCATCCTATCCTTTCACCCTTAAAATAAAAAACATCTATTTTTTATGTTCTAGAACTGCTAAAAATTGTTGTTGTTTTTTTGTATAAAATTGCGGCAATATTTTTCTATATTCAGTACGAGCCCTAATAAACCCGTTCTTGTGCTTCAAGACCATAAACTGCCATAGAGGCTTCGGTGACTAACTTAACAGATCGCTCAACTGCCTGCAAATGACAAGGGAATTTTAATAATGCTATTTTATCAGAAACCAAAGATATCATGTTAGTTAACTATTCGTTCGAAATTTTCATTGTTAACGGGGGCTCGGTTATAAGAACATTTTGCCAGTCAATTAAGTCCACATAATCTTGACAATTAAAATTTAACTTATTTACTCGAAATATTCTGACATCCTCGATTTTTGGCGGTTGATCTGTATTTTAAAATTCTTCTTAAAGCTAATTCTCGAATATGTTTACTATCATCCCTTAACATGGCTATTAAAAGATTTTCTGGGTGACCAACAGAACCATTTCTCTCAATTACGGGATCAATAACTTTCTTTATTTCTTCAGGGAGGTAAGGAGATTTACTAATAATGCTAAACAAGTGCCTGGCACTATCCTTACAAGCGTAATGACATTTAATTTCAAACCAACACACGGCATACACTTTTACTATAATCTCTAGGTTTTGAGAGGGCTCATTCTCATTGGTAGCAACGTATAGCCTTAGGAATCTGTTGGCTGTGTTAAGCCATCTAGAGTGTGACATTTTCCCTGGCGCTTTTAGAGCCAAATCGTCTTTACAAACTCCAGTGGAGATTTCTTGACACATCTCGTACATATACTTAGCATCGGTACTTTTCTCAATTTCTCAAACTGTACGATTGCTACACACGATTCAAGGTCTTACCAATGTCTCCAACAAAAATCCTTTGGGCCTCCTTTGGGCCCAGTAGTTTTTCCGTTAGTTTTTTTTTTTGGCTTATTATTTAAGAGAGCATCAGGCAATAGGCATTTCTTAGGTATACAGGGTAGTTAAATTTATAGAAATCAAAATTCATTAAATTAAAAAAATATATGTTAATTAGCGAAATTTTAAGGCGGTTTCGGCAGCCGAAGATAGTTTTTTTTTCTTGACTTACTAAAGAGTACAATAGGCACCTATTAAGCATACAGGGTGGTTAAATTTCCAGAAATGGAAAATTCGCTCCACCCTATTGACCACATTTGTTTCATATTATATTATATCAGCGACTCTTTTCACTGTGAATTATTGTAAGCATATTCAAATAAATTCAATCTTCTCGAAACAGGTAATTCTCTTTTACGTATTAGTCTAAAAATAGACATACAAAATACGTCACATTAATAATTTCTTATTTTTGAAAAGTCACATTACATTATGGGATTTTACTTAATCCACAAATAATGATAATAGCAAAGAAACCAGTTTAAAAGTTTTATTATTTTTTAATATTCATCTTTTGTAACAAACGTAAATTGTAAGTTAGGAGGTTCTTCACAATAGAAATTAAATTGATTTACAATTTCGTGTTGTTTTTGTAGATACAAGGTCAGAATATTTTACGGATAATTGCACCATTATGTTTTAAGAAGATCGTTCTTCTATCCTTCTCGAATAGTAACGTAAATTTTTCGTTGTTTTGGTAAATTTTTAATAAATTATTTACATTTTATTGACCAAATTCATAGGTATTTAATGTTAATTCTAACTATTCACAATTCAAAATGGGAAGGACTACTTCTTTATTTCAAAAGGGGGCGCAATTAGGGTTGCCAGATATCCGGATAACCACATACAAAAAAAAACTTGATGTTGAAGAAAACAGAAAGTTCGCTTTTCACACTTTCTAGGGACAGACGATTTCTTTCGTTTGTCCAAATATTTCCCATATCACTAAATATCCTTTCAACAAAGGCATTGCATATAGGAATGCTTAAAACATATTGAACTGTTTTGAGCAAATTTGGTGCTTCTTCATTCTTGAAGTGCAGGAAAAACAGTTTGTAATTCAACCAGTTCTTCATACATGTTTTCAGGTGGGTGTTCCTGTTTCCAGGGAGAAATTAACCACAAATCAATCAGTTGATCCAGAGTAGGCAATATTCCAGTTTCTAGGTCTAAATAATTGAAAGTCTTGAAATTATTATTATATAAGCCGGAGCTCTTTCGTAAATATTTAGAACATTTTTCGGTTAATTGTTTTGACTGCCAATACACGTATTTTAATTCTAACAATAACATTTTTAATGTTTTCTTAAATTACACGAATTTTTATTAATTCAACCAAAAACCGGATTTTCTGTTGTTCGGTTTACCAAGTTTTTTCAACCGAGGGTGCAACAGAAAAATTGGACTGTCCGGTCGAAAACCGGACATCTGACAACCCTAGGCGCAATTTAGATGATCAGATTTTTGCTGCTAATTGAAAAGAAATCTTTTAAATTCTAATAAATTTTTGAAAACTCAGCATTCCATTTTATAGATTATTTTGCAAAAGATAGAAGTGTAATTCCAATAATTATTTTTATCAGATAATAATCAGACTCTCGGAAAAAATTTTACCTTCAGTTATGTAGTTGTATTTTTCATTTGTCCCTAATTAAGTATGAATCAAAGTTATTTAAATCTAAATTACAAAGTTGATTTATATTGTAACTGAAAATTTGACATAATCTTAACTGAAGAAAATATTTATTTATTTATTTATTTATTTATTCACGGGTAACCCCATTAAAAAAAAAATACAATATTAATTAGAATAAAAACAGCAAAATAAATACTTAATAAAATACTAAACTAATACTAATATAGGTAATATAAAATACTATACAAAATATAAAATATAACGGCATTAAATAACAATTATAAAATCAGTTAGAAAATGAAGACAAAAAAAATGTTACGACTTCCATATTATTTAAATAAGTCCTGAGAGCATTAATAGTTCCAAAAATATCACAATTTTTACATTTCAACTTATTACATTCACGTAACATTCGACTTACTGGTGAATTAAAGGCATAATTAGTGGTATGTAGTGGTATATTAAATAAGTCGAATTGTCTAGTCCTACTAAAGGTATTAAAATTAATAAGACCTACTGCTTGGGGAGAATCAATATTCCCTGTTAACAATTTATTTATAAAAATTATATCAGAAACTGTTCTTCTAAAGTGAAGTGATTTTAAGTTTAATTGAGAATTAATTGAAGCATATGAGTAATCTCCTCTTATATAACCCATTTTATAGGCGCATATTCTCAAGAATTTATTCTGAATAGTCTCAATTTGATGCTTATGAGTATTGTAATATGGATTCCAAATAATCGAACAGTATTCTAATTGTGATCTTATTAGAGAACAATACATCGTTTTGAACGTATAAGCAGAAAAATCCGTGGATGACCTAGAAATGAAACCTAATAGTTTTGATGCCTTTGCTGTTATCATATCTATATGTGCCTGAAAAGACAATTTACTATTCATCATGACACCTAAATCTTTAATGGTATCAACTCTTGACACACTATGATTGTTAATTTGATAGTCATGTATGATGGGTGACAAAATTTTGCTAAAAGATATACAGAAGCACTTCTTAATATTTAGATCCATTTGGTTTAGATTGCACCATATATTCAGGGAGTCAAGGTCTGTTTGCAATTCAATTATATCAGAATGTGAATTAATAGATTTGAATAACTTAAAATCATCTGCAAAAAGTAGGTATTGGCTAAATTTTAATGTATCACAAATATCGTTAATAAACAGATTAAATAGAATAGGTCCACAATGAGAACCTTGAGGTACACCTGAAGGAACTGTAATCTCATGAGATACAACACCCGCAATTTTCACGCTTTGAAAACGATTTGTTAAATAACTTTGAATCCATGTCAGCATGACACCCGATATTCCAATATTTTTTAGTTTGTTTATAAGAAGTTTATGGTTTACTCGATCAAAGGCTTTTGAGAAGTCTGTATAGATCGAGTCAACTTGTGACTTATTTTCTAAAGCATTAATTATGTAAGTGTTGTAAAGCAAGAGATTAGTCACTGTTGACCGACCAGGACAGAAACCATGCTGTTCATTAAAGATGATGTTTTTACATTCCCAAGATAAGAACTTACTCATGAGATAATCGAATGCTTTAGGAATATCGGACTGGATACAAACAGCTCGGTAGTTTTCAATTTTCTCTTTTGGGCCCGATTTATAAATTGGTTTCAAAAAACTATGTTTCCAGAAATTTGGAAAGATTCCTGATTTAAGGGATATGTTAAAAACGATTTTTAGAGGATTAGCCAAAGTATAAATGCACTTTTTTAAAAAATAAGTTGGAATCCCATCTGGACCATGGGAAAATTTCGATGGTAGACTGTTAATTTTTTCCATAATGTCGATTACATTAATTTGATAGTTTGATATATTCACAGTATTCTTAAAATTATTTGAAGGTAAATTTTGTACATTGTCGGTAGAAAAAACTGATAAAAAGAACTTGGCGAATTCATTCACAATGGTGACAATATCATCGAAGCTCTCAGAGTTATTAGAGGTCATGGATTTTGGAAGATCATGGGCTTTTCTTTTGTTATTTATGTAGCTCCAAAAATATTTAGGAAGTGTTAATATTATTTTCCATCTTTCTGTTATATTCTTTGAAACAAACTTCAGATAGTTCCTTGCACCGCCTACGTAAATCACTAAATAGAATATAATCGTGGTGTTGATTGAATATGAAGTCCGTAATAAATGTAATTTAGATATAAAAGTCTTTAGTTAAGTACAGTTACAATTTTTAAATAATGCAATTGAAACTTGCAGTTTTTATCAACTTTACGTTTTATTTATCTGTATAAGTGTAGTAATTATTGTATACCATTGTATATGGACTACCAGTTCACCATCACTATTTGTATAAAGGGTTGCATACCCTTCGAGTCATTAACTGTTTTAAGGTGGTAACACTTTTGGTTTCCTCTGTGAACCATTGTTCAAGGGTGGTACCCCTTATTTTTATGTTTTATGGAATCATACACATTCCATGTCGGGAAGCTTAAGGAAGAGGTTCGTCAAGCGACCTGTGCTTCCACGTGTTAAATATTATGTTGAATATATTAGTTAAAGTTAAACTTTGTTTTATTTGAGAAGATACCGGCCATCTCTACAATCTCAGAAGTGGGATTCGATGAAAATTATTATGTGTGCAAGATCAAGAGAATATTTTATGAAAATAATTATAAATTATGAATGAGAAAATTTTTGAAGATTTTTTTTTAACAGCACATGAGTGATTCTGGAAATTCAGTAAAACAAAATGCAAATCAACCCAGTGTAGCACATTTTATGAACACGATTACAACTTTAAAGGCTCAAAATTTGGAATAGCTTAAAATGTTACAGTTCAAAACCAGGAACAGTCTGCAGCCCAACAGCCGAGACAAGAAGTAACAAATTTAAGTATGCTTTTAACAAAACATTTATAGTTGAAGTTACGAAAACAGATCTATGGACTAAAATGCAGTCGAGGGTACAGTTGCCAAAAGAAAGTCTCAGTGCATACTTCCACGAAAAAGCGGCCTTTTGTAGAGAATTATCGCTCTCTTTTGAAGCGACTAAAGAGCAAATAGTCATCGGTCTTTGGTCTAAAGAATTAAGTAACTTTGTAATATCCAGATCACATGATGATAACGATGAACTTTTTCAAGATATCACGAGTTTTGAAAGAATAGACAAAGCAAGAAGAAACAGATTCAAAGATAGAAGAGATAATGAAGATAGAAATAGAAGATTTGAAGAAGT